TTCCCACCTCTCTCTCTCTCTCTCTCTCTCTCTCTCTCTCTCATACTAACAATAACGATAACAACAAAAATGATAATGATGATGATGATAATAATGATAATAATGATAATGATTTTGTTTACCCAGAGAAGCTTCAATGCTGTTCTTCATGAGGGCCCTGTAATTACTATTGCCCCGATTACCCTGGTGGGAAGTATAAAATGTGAATCAATGTCTTGTCAAAGGACGTTAGTTCCCGGCTGAGTTTCGAACCTTCAACCCTTGGATTGAGAGACAAGTGAATGAACCACTACACCACGACAGGTCCACACCTCTCTCTCTCTCTCTCTCTCTCTCTCTCTCTCTCTCTCTCTCTCTCTCTCTCTCATACTAACAATAACGATAATAACAAAAATGATGATGATGATGATGATAATAATAATGATAATAATTTTGTTTACCTAGAGAAGCTTCAATGCTGTTCTTCCTGAGGGCCCTGTAATTACTATTGCCCCGATGATTACCCGGGTGGGAAGTATAAAATGTGGATCAATGTCTTGCCAAATGAAGTTAGTTCCCGGCTGAGTTTCGAACCTTCAACCAGTGGCGGATCCAGGGGGGGGGCCGGGGGGCCCGGGGGGCCCGGGCCCCCCCCCCCCCTTGAGAAAAAAATCATGCAAAATCACGCGATTTTCACCTTTTTGGGGGGTTGGGCCCCCCCCCCCCCCTGGCGCTCAAGGGGGGGGGGGGGGTGCAAATTAAAAAATTTCGAGGACCAAAAAAAAAAAATTGTCACTACCCCCCCCCCCCCCCCCCCCCCCCCCCCCCCCCCCACCCCCCCACTGAGCGACTTTTCGGCCGGCGCGATTTTCAAATTTTCGGGAGCAAAAAAAAAAAAAAAGTTGGGCCCCCTCCCCTAAGAAATCCTGGATCCGCGCCTGCCTTCAACCCTTGGATTGAGAGACAAATGAATGAATGAACCACTATACGATGACAGCCCCACACCCCTCTTTCCCTCTCTCTCCATCTTTCTATCTTTTTGTTATTCACTCTTTCTTACTATCTTTCAAACTACTTCTCCCTATCTCCTCTCTCAATCATTGTGGCTCTCCCGTGAGTCCCCTCATCCCACTCCCGTCATTTCTTTCCATTATGATAAGGATTAGGACAAGATGGATATTGTAGAGGAAAATTGACATTATGGCGTACTTACAAAATGAACTTACGAACTTATGAACATAGGCATACAGATTACATTTCTCAGTGTCGGATGGGGCAGTTACTGTAAAAATGCCAACTTACAAGATCAGCCAAGACTTTATCGATATCCCAAAAGGGAATGTGCATAAGAAGGAAAAAATGCCGTGACCAGGATTCGAACCTGGGTTATTGCGGCCACAACACAATGCCCTAACTACTAGACCCCCAGGTTCCCGTGTTGTGGTAGTAATTGGACTCATTAGAGAGGTAAGTAGTTCCCCCCCCCCCCCCCACTCTCTGTCCCACTAATTTTTTTGTAAAATAAATGTAAATCGCGAAATATTTACAGTAATGGTATTTCATACCTGTACGGTGAACCTCGATCTGTTAAAACTTCTTAAAAAGATATGGTATATGTTTTTACAAAATAGGTGCTTTAATTCGAGCCATTTCAGTTTACAAAATAGATCAATTTTTATCTCTTTGATGTTTATCAAGAATCTAAATTCGAAAAAGGACAACAAAAATGCCGTGACCAGGATTCGAACCTGGGTTATTGCGGCCACAACGCAATGTCCTAACCACTAGACGATCACGGCTTCCACTAATAATTTATGTAAAGTTGTGGTAGTGATTGGACTCATTATAGAGACGTTAGTAGTCTCTCTCTCTCTCTCTCTTCTCTTTCTCTCTCTCTCTCTCTCTCTCTCTCTCTCTCTCTCTCTCTCTCTCTCTCCCTATATCCCTCTCTGTCCCAATATTTTTTTTGAAAAATAGTCAAAACATAGATCATGAAATATTTACAGTGATGGTATTTTTTTTTTACCTAAGCCTCGATCTGTTAAAAACAATTTAATATCGAAAATTGTTTAAAAGATATGGTATATGTTTTTTTAAATAGGCGCTTCAATTCGAGCCATTTCTGTTTTCAAAATAGATCCATTGATATCTCTTTGATGTGTATCAAGAATCTAAAATATGGAAAAGGAAAAAAAATGCCGTGACCAGGATTCGAACCTGGGTTATTGCGGCCACAACGCAATGTCCTAACCACTAGACGATCACGGCCTCCACTAATATGTTTTGCAAAGCTTTGCTCTTGATTAGAATCATTATAGAGAGGTTAGTATTCACACACACTCTCTCTCTCTCTCTCTCTCTCTCTCTCCCTTTATGTCCCATTATTTTTTTGTAAAATAGTTCAAAGTCAAAACATAGTTCGTGGAATATATTTACGGTGATGGTATTTTTTACCTGAGCCTCGATCTGTTAAAAACAATTCAATATCGAAAATTGTTAAAAAGATATGGTATATGTTTTTTACAAAATAGATGCTTCAATTCGAGCCATTCCTCTTTACAAAATAGATCCATTGATATCTCTTTGATATTTGTCAAGAATATAAAATAGGGAAAATGAAAAAAAAAATGCCGTGACCAGGATTCGAACCTGGGTTATTGCGGCCACAACGCAATGTCCTAACCACTAGACGATCACGGCTTCCACTAATATATTATTCAAAGTTGCGGTGGTGATTGGACTCATTATAGAGAGGTTAGTATTCTCTCTCTCTCTCTCTCTCTCTCTCTCTCTCTCTCTCTCTCTCTCTCTCTCTATCCCTTTATGTCCCAATATTTGTTAAAAGTCAAAACAGTTCGTGGAATATTTACAGAGATGGTATTTCTTACCTGAGCCTCGATCTGTTAAAAACAATTTAATATCGAAAATTGTTTAAAAGATATGGTATATGTTTTTACAAAATAGATCCATTGATATCTCTTTGATGTTCTAAAATATGGAAAAAGTAAAAAAAAAAAAAAATGCCGTGACCAGGATTCGAATCTGGGTTATTGCGGCCACAACGCAATGTCCTAACCACTAGACGATCACGGCTTCCACTGATAAATTATGCAAAGTGCTAGTGTTTTAGTCATGCTAGCTCAGCGTTTGCCCACTGAGAACTTTGCGTACGCACATACAACAACTCAACAAGTCGAGGCTTGGTATTGCTTTAAAAAAAAAACAATATACTGCTGTCTACTTAAGATAGCTCATCACCTGTTCCCTAAACCGCTTTGCACCTGTCGCCCTCATATAAGCTCACAACATGTGCTGCGCATGTGGAGTCGCAGAAGAGTCAACGTACGTGAGTGGTCCGTCGTGCGCTCTACAGCAACAGCGCTCCACTCTCATTGGTCGGAACTTTTCATCACGCTTATTCGCATTGCTGTTTGTCTCCCTCTTTTGGCAGTGCATGCGAGAAGAAAAAAACGCCACAAAAAACACGAGTTCGAAAAGTCACTGGTCGGAATTCACTGGTCACTGGTCACTGTTCAATGAACTGGAAATAAACGGGTGATTAAATTCGTACTATCTCTCTCACCTTCATCCATCTTGCTTTCCCTCCCTAGTGCCTAATAACTCTGCCCGATTTCAGACTTGTATTCTAATGAATAGGCCTAATTATCCTAGACGAGAGGCTTAATAATGCTAGGCCAACCAAGAGAAGTGATATTTATGGCCAATCTAAAGGACATGTTTATTGAGTTTGATTTTTTGTTGATAGCTTGACGGTGAAATTGCAAAAAGTTCACTTGGATTGTAAGAACATGAAAAAGTTGGAAAAACCTTTGCAGTTTAAAAATATTGGTATTTTCAATATTTATGACTGAAAACTTTACCTCCTCGTATACTTATGTTCACTCACTTTTAAATATAATTTGATTCAGAGAGAGAGAGAGGGAGAGACAGAGGAGAGAAGAGAGAGAGGGAGAAGGAAGGTGAAGAGTTTTGTAAAAGAAAGATGCAGGGAGAGGGGGAGGAGGAGAGGAAAGAGAGAGAGAGAGAGAGAGAGAGAGAGAGAGGGGGGGGGGGGGGTTAAGAGAAAGCTAGATAGACATTCATTTGTAAATAATAAATGATATAGAGCGAGGGTGTATGTGTATGGGAGAGAGAGAGAGAGAGAAAGAGAGAGAGAGAGAGACAGACAGACAGACAGACGGACAGACACAGGGAGAGAGGTAGGCAGAGAGAGAGAGAGAGAGAGAGAGAGAGATAGACAGACAGACAGAGAGAGAGAGAGGTAGAAAGGCGGTGTTATTTGAACATGTTATTATGTCAACATAAAAACTATTTACGAAACATTCCAGGAAACAATGTTTTCCGCATCTTTTCTAAGTGTGTTTTTTCCGCAAGAGAAAGAAAAGAGGGATTAGCGATTGACGGAGGCCTGGGCCTTTTTAACGAGACTGAAAAACAATTTGGATAATCCGGTTCGATCAGAATTCAACCGAATATACATGTATAGGCCTATTTTATGATGAATTAAAACTAAGCAGGATACTGAAGGGGGGGGGGTGAGAAGAGTCTGAATGTCAAGAAATTTATAAATTTGTCCAATTGGCCTTCATAATTATAATAGGCCAATAAAGGAATTTGGTGAAAAAATGACAATGTAAAAAGCGAAAAAGATGTGTAAGAGAAAAGATAGAGATGGGGTCACAGGAGAGGAGAGTAAAGCAGGGAGAGGAGAAAATGAAAAGAAGAAGAAAAGAAAACATAAGGCCATTATAGGAAAAGCATAATGATAAATGATTATCGAGAAGCGTAAAAAGAAGAAGCAGTTGATATGCTTGGAGGAATAACATACTTGAAAGAGAAAATATTGGCCTACTCATGTCAGCAAGCCCCGCCTTAGAAAATGGGATCGTGAGAAATTAATGAATAATATGGCATGACTCAAGCGAACCACCAAGTTGTTTACCTCAACCCAACAAAAGCTCTTTTTTCAGGAGTTGTTTTCGCCAAAAAAAAAAACCAGCGCGAGAAGCTTGCTATTGTGGTGCGATTATGGGGCACGGTTCAACGGGTTATGGTTAGTGCAAGTAGTAAAATGGCGGACACACGGAGCACCCTTTTGGAGTGCTCCGTAAAAATCCGGCAAGGGAGAAAGGTAAGAGTTCTTAATCATCTTCTTGGATTGTTCTAAGTGATCATTACGATTGGATCTAACACTTCTCCATTTTTCTTTTCTTCTAGTGGAAAACAAGATGGTGTGTGATGTCGAGACAAAGTCCAGTTTCGGGTGAGTGTGCTTGTTTTTGTACCCTCCTTCACTCAGTATCAACTTGTTTTTTGGCACCGGCAATCCGGTCTATTTCGTTCATAATTGGGTACCGTTCCGTGATTCAGAGTGGTTATAAGTTTCTTCTTTCCATAAAATATTTAAAAATGGACGGTTTAAGATACTTTTCTAGTGACATATTTCAAAGCTGCCATAACTACAAAGAGTTTGAATAGTAGTAATACCCTGTTGGTAGACGGCCAGCTGCCCGGCGAAGCCGCGGTGCATGCATGGCCCACATAGTGTCGAAGCACTGTTCACATTGTCTCTACAGATGGGGCTGGGAGACAAGTGGCCATTTTGGCGTTTTGCCATCACATTTTCATTGATGACTGCGCTTGTTATGTGTGTATTAATGGCAGAAAAGAAGAGTAACAAGAGTGTTTTGCCTTTAAAATTGGAATGATCAAGTTGTTTTGAGTAGAGCATGTAGTAGTGGAATCATTGTTAACTTTCAGTTTGCAAATGTTTTGATTGCGTATTGATTAATTGATGTTTGATTTGGTGGGTGAAAAGGTGCATTTACGTCACAAGACTAGAAAATTGATTTTTCAAAAAACAAGTAAAGTAACAGATTTCAGGTATTGACTTTATGGTTTGACAGTGTATATTCATGATAATAGTCCATTTTCCCCTAAAAGTAGACTATTTGTGGTCTAATCCAAGTTAACATTATAAACAGATTTCTTTTTGTAGTTGCTGCTTTTACATGTTATTGATATCCATGTGAATGCACCAGGATGCAATCTGTAGAAAATTCTGTTTTGAATTACTTTAATAGAAATAAATTTTTGAGAAACGATAGTTTGGAAAATGAGATATGATTAGATAGTAATATTTATATAACATAGACTCATTATCAACTCAAATATAGTAAGGGGACAATACACTGTATATAAGACTATATGTTCTAGTAAAACGTAATAATTTCTCAACTTGCAGTCCTTTTGGTAGTTATGATAAGGGAATTTCAGACTCTAAATGGGAATGATACAATACATGTGCACTGGACTTCTGTGAGATGTTCATTCAAATACTGTTATGAAATATATTTTGCTGTAATGAAATTATTCTGGAAATGGTAATAATTACTGTTCCAGAGGAATTTGAATAATAATTCACAATACTTGAACAATAGCAGAAAAGTCAAGCCTACAACTCCATGAAAGCCGATAGAATATAGTCTAAAGAGCAAGAAGAGTATTATCTCATAATTATTACCCCAGAAGACAAAGTTAGCACCCTTCTGGCTCTCAACAGAATACAGGAATGATTTGACAGTAATATGAGTCAGATATTCTGGTCCAAATTTATCCAGCTTTTCCTTTTTTGTTATGAACTGAGCATCAAATTAAGAAAAAATAAAAGATGATTTAACTTGTGCATATATGTACATGTATACAAATTTTCATAAATTTATGACATGGAATATCTGTATCCAAATAAGGGAGTGTACATCATTATACCCCTTCCAAAATTGGGTTTTGACATAATAGTGATATATAATAACTTAATTAAACTCTTGTATCAGTTTCATTTGTTACCATATATGCATATATTTTAGGCTTACAATCCACATGTTCAAAAACTTTAGGACTTGTAGTTGTCCAATTCCCCTTTGGCCAACATCTCCATTCTTGAGCTTTTTATGTATCCCTTCCTTTCTCTGTTGATACTGTAACGATCATTCTATTTTCCCCCTTTTTGGTAATATATTGCATTAGAACGGTAGAACCAGATGCATTTATTGTATTTGACCTTACATGCCTAATAAATGAGGTGTATAATTTAAACAAACAAAACAACAATAACAACTAAAGGAAAATAAGTACAGTACAGGTATGTATCCACATATTTGTGGCAAAATAAAGTTGAATACTCTGGAGGTTTTTACAAACCAATGACCCAAATGTCAATATATGACGCTGTTAACCAGGGCTAACCCTGAGATGCCGTAAACATGCTATGAATTGACTTTTGTACACGTATCTAAAACACAGACAGGACTGCTAAGGTACATATATGTACAGTCTACAAATGTAGCTCATGTGGTTTGTCTGTATTTACTCATATATAACATCATACTTGTTGAAGTATGCCGAAGGTCAAAGGTAGCGTCCATGCATGCTATACAAACTTCTTTCTAGATCACTGATGCTCAGATAAAGAAACATTCTGCGCAAATAAAAACTTAATATGTTGAGAGCAAAAAAAGTATTTAAACAAAAGTAAAGACTGTTTGATTTAACTCTTGTACACATATGAACCATTGTTGAAAGAAAACTTTTTGGTAAATGTAAATATTTTGTGGATTTGGTGGTGTAATTGCAAGATTTTCATTCGGCAAATAAAAACATGTTTCTTTACTTTTAGTTTTTACCGTGATAGCTCTTTTTGCATTTTTTCAGGGCTAAATCGCTCACCATACCAATGTATTTTTTCACTGTCACAAATAGTGATGAGGGATTGCAAAGTTTTTAGTCTGTCTCAAACAGAATTGTCTATGTAAAAATACCATAATGCTTGGTGAATGCCAGATTACTGTAGTTCAAAGGGGGCATCCTCGTCATACAAAATTTAACGAGAATGATATTCTATAGTCAAAGTAAACCAGATAATTTGAGATGAAATATCGTCATGTTTATAGAACAGAAGTACATGTACAGTGTAAATGTTATATTTACAGTGTACGGTAGGTATTTCATATACGGTACTGATTGTAGAGTGCAGGAGTTGTGATTGTTGTATCATCCGTTGGGATTTTAGAGCCAAAAGGGCTTAAACTCTTTTAAATAATATGGCCTGGTTTCATAAAACTTGTTATCAATTACAAGATACAATAATTGTTATAAGCTACTGACATCCTTACACTTTATTGGCTATAAGCAGCTTTGTCATAGATCTACAGTGTATGGCACCTGTTATTAATAACAAGTTTTATAAAAACAGGGCCCAGAGTTAATGCCTTTTTGGCTATGAACAGACATTTTTGTTGACCCCTCATTCGACATAAATTTGCTTTCTTAACTAGTTTCCTTGTTTATTTTATTGTATTCATATTATCTGTAACGTTACCCTTCTACATGTATTGATATATATATTTTTTAATACTCTGTATGTATTGTATATGTTTTTTTTTATGAAGAATGAAATAAATACCATACCATACCATACCATACCATTTTGAGAGCTATAGAATAATGCAGAGGTAAATGCAGTTCTTTATTTTTCATACATTAATAGCAAAGAGAAAATTGTTAATATTGAATGATACTATCATGAAAATTTCTATAAATTTTATAGCCAAAATAAATTTATTTGCTTGCCCCTGGCCATTCGGCAGACATGCCTATATACAGCCATTGTCAGAGTTATTAATAAGCATTTACTGGGATGCAAGAAAAGTTAAAAAAACATTAATGTTCAGTGATAGTTGTCATTGCTAGTGGCAGGAGGAGAATTTCAAATCACAATGATTTGATTCCATATAAATGTTAAACCCCAATTTATCCCATGATAAATTCTACATGCTGCATTTTCTAGGAGTTACTGTTTGATTTGATATTTAGTCTTCTAAAGTACCATAAAGTACCATTATTTGACTATAGAATAAACTGCCATCATATCTTGGCAAGATATGTTTGTTAGAGACTGAGAGTGATGCTGGATATAAGTGCATAATGATAACATGGTGTTAAACCAATGCTTTTTGACATCCCCAAGCTTTTTATCCAACACCTCCCTGTAATATTGTGATAACTATAAATCAGGGACCCATTCCACAAAGCCTTTTTTCAATGACAAATGACAAAAATCAGTGACATATCTGCTGATAACCATTCAGAAGCAAGGATTTTCCTAGCACATAACAAAAACTGTCATGTGTCACTGATGACAAGTTTTGTGAATTGGGGCCCTGCCCTGATGATATTAGAGGGAAATATGAAATGGCTAACTAACTCTCAGGTAGATTAGTGAAATGCAGTGACACAAAAAAGTTATATTTTGTTATATATCTGAGTGAAAAAGTCTACATGTAGCTAACTATTTGCCTAATTAAGATAGTAAATGATTTGATCAGCCCCAAATTTTTTACAATGTCATTCTACTTCCATCTGATGAAATTATTATTTACAACAGTTGTGCATCTTGTGTTCCGGACGCGTCTTTTAGTGCCACAACATCTCGCTAAGTTACCTTCAAAAGTTTGGACTTATTTCAATGCCAACTTTCTGTTTTACTGCATAAGATGATTACTGTAACCATGTAAGATTGTTCAACTTGGCTAAGTTTCAATCAACCTTACTATTATTCTTTCCCCTGCGCAACATTACCATTCATGTTCCCCAAGTATTACTCATGACATTGGAAGGCTGGGTAAATATCTGGATTATTTGTGCTTCCATGCCTCCAAATACAACGTGTGATCTACTGGCACTATACAAGATCATGAACTCAAATATCATTCCAGCCGAATGCGCAACGAGCAAACGAACAGATCGGTCTTGTTTTCCTATATACCACTGCGAAGGGGTGATAATTTTGTAAGGAGGTATCTAGGATTTCTTTCATTGATTCGGTATAGGTGCCAATGTGTTTGAACATACAAAACACACAGGGGCTGTGGTTTTGTTGCAGGGTTAATCGTTGTGTGGGGTACCTCTAATGCTGAATTGGGGAGAAGTGAGCCGGGACGGGATGAAAAGGCACAGAGGGGGGAAGAAAAGAGAAAGAAAAAAGGTTAGGAAGAAAGAAAGAAAGCTAGAAAGAAAGAGAGAAAGAAAGAAAGAAAGAAGAAGAAGAATTAGAGAAGTAAGAAAGATAGAGCGGAGGAAAAGAAAAAGAGAAAAATAGAAAGGAGGGAAAAGAAATAGAGAAAGAAAGAAAGGAGGAAAAAGAAAAGGAGAAAAATAAAGAGAAAAGGAAAGAAAGGAGAGTTCAAGGAGAGAGAGGCAGCTTAT